AAAATGAATAGCATCATTATTCTGCCACAACTACATTGCAGTTCGAAGCAGTGCACGTTGTTATGCATGTTACAATTACTACCCCCAATAAAAATTAAAAATTAAAAAAAAAGAAAAAAAAGTGAACGAAAAAGGACGAGCTAAACTCTCTGTCTCGACTCGAAAACGGAAAAGGGAGAACGTATAAGCTATATCAAGTGGCATATCATTGTTTCAATGAAAATTAATAGTTTTCAAAATGTTATTTTCAAACTGTGCTAAAATTTTACCTTCCTGCACGTAATTTATCCATTTTGTAGGTTAAACTCGCTAACCGACCAACGCCACACGCTTATAAATTGCATTCAAAACGGGCCACATTGTACGGCTAGTCAATGCATACTGAAATATGCATGCATTCATTTTGTGTTCAAATTTCAAAGGGCTCTCTTACCCTTTCAATCGTGTCTATCGTTTCTATCGTTTTTCACTCGGTCTGTCCGTCTCGTTTTGCCATTATTAACAGACGATCGAGCTTTATTTGGCATTCGGTTGTTTACTGTCGGCTGCCCGTTTGCTACAGCTCAAGCATCAAACAAACGTGTGTATATGTGCTCTTTACTGCGCGGTGCATACCATTTTTCGGAAAAAGAAAAACAAAATTTATGAAATTGCAATGCAAGCAACCGCCAACGATGTAGACGACGACGACGACGACGATGACGACGGTTGAAAGCTTCATTCGTTCAAATATGTAAAGCCACATGTAGTCCATCGGTTCTAGATACCGAGCTCTTTGCACTTCGAAAATGCAATACATTTTCGCTGTCGTTTGATGATAAAATGTCGAGGCCAAATGAATTCCAACATATTTCTTGTCGTTGTTGTTACCAGATACTTTGCAACGCAAAATGCTTTTCGCTTTGCCACTATCGACACAAACGAATATAGTTGCATACCATACTGTTCAAAAAGATGCATGTTCTACACACTTTTACCGGCGTGAAATGCCCCGTTTAATACCAACTACACTTTCGATTCAATTTCAAAATGAATACAGTAGCAGTATTGCTAAAAGTCATGACAAAGGGCTCATCGGTTTGAAGTTTTCAACACACCGATTTTTCGATTACACCACACACATATGTATATTCGACTGACCATTTTGTTTTATGAGAAAGCATTTCTGGGCGCTGTGATTTTTCTTTACACTAGTGTGTTACATGCGCAATTTACACATTCATTGCTGAGGTATGAAAGAGGCTTCGTTTAAGTGAATTGATGATAAGCATGTTATGGTGCATTTTTAAATGGTTTATCGTTTCAAAACGCTTGTATTCAAACCACGTAAAATAGCATTCAATCATAGCTGGCTCCCTTTGGCAAGTGGCTTTGAAGGAAATTCCATCCAGCTAACAGACATCACAAACTCTCTTGAGATTCTCGCTTTAGTGTCTATGCTGTCTGTTTGTCTCACCATACAATAGGCCATTTAAACTACAACAGAAAAAAAGAGAATTCAGCAAACAAACTTCTTACAACATAATCGACTGTTGATAATTGTATCTAACACCTTTCAAGTAGAACAGCCACATATTTTTTCCGCTCGGCGGCTTTGTTCCATTTATAAAAAGGAATAATAAAAGTACATCAACAACAACGGAATGTTTCTGCAGTGGAATACACATATGTACACACACGCATACCCACACAATTCACATTCAATTTTGTTGAACATTTTCAAGCCTTCGGTTGCTCATAATGAAGCGGTAAATTTTGTCTTGTCGCCTTAAGATATCTAATTTCAGATAAGTATACATTGTTGTTTTGTTCCCCCGACCCCCCCTCTCTCTGTATGTCTGTTTATGGAAAATAAAAGACATTCGAAACTGACTGGCACACATTGTTAACCGGAGAAACACAATTTCATTGCATTGCGCTCCGTGTGCCACTTTTTTTTGCTTTCTTTCATGTTGGTTTTTTTTCTTCTCTTTTTGCTTCCTCGTGTGAAGGGGAAATTAAGCTTTCTTTTCCATGCGAATTGGAATCGTTTTTCCGGAGTTGTGTTTGTCGTTAAAGTAAATAAATGGATTTTCATTACGCTAAGTCGATGTCTATAGAGGGTGAGAGTGTGAAAGATTTAGTTAGCGGTGTGATTGCAAGCGACATAATTACAAAAGGTTAAAATGTCCAGCATCAATTATCGCAAAAGAGTGCACGGCTAAAGGTTTCAATTTCAAAATACCTATTAAGTTATTTACCTTTCCGATAAATTAAACCGATTATCATGTGATAAATAATGAATCAATGAATGTCAGAATCGAAAATTGTGCGACCCAATAAAAATATCGAGTTAAGATTATATCTGTCATTCACTTGAGGTGATGTGTTTAATTAAATTGAAAAATTGAACCAAAATAAAGCTTTTATGCGTTCAGCACCAAGCTTATTGGTAACTCGCCAATCGGTCACTGCACTTTCCATTTGATTGAACTGTGGATTTATAGAACTTTAAAAAAATGTTGGCAATTCAACGGAAATTCCTTGGTATTCCGCGAATTATGTTAAATAATTAAGCGCTGACTTTTTTTAACCAACCAAAAACCACTTAACACAAATTATCAATTTGTCAACAGTTCATAGCATATGGCAATGATTTCCATGTGATGTGCGACAAAAATATCTGATTTTAAAAATGAATGGCATACAATTTGGTAGTGAAAAGTGGATTGATTCCACTTATGTGTGTGTGTGTTTCTGTATATGCTACCCATAATTTTTATGAATTATACAAACCGAAACGTGGCACACATTGTCCAGCACAATTGCGCTTTGCGAATGTAAACAGTGACCAATCTAATAAAAAGCATCATTTATCATCATCATCATTACATTCGTGGGGCTGAACAACGTATACTATTCATTCGAACATTCAATTTATTTATTATTGTTTCAGAATTAATCCATAAAAATCGCATCTGAAAGCCATTGAAAAACACAAGTGAAAATGATCACGATAAAAAAATAACACTCTGAAAATATATTAATAATAATAAATGGAAACCCAGACAAAATATATAAATCACCCCAAACGAAAAAAACGTTAAAAAAACACATACATCGGATTTTATATGACGATGGAATGAAACAAACGCTTAAACAAAAGTCATACCCCTAGTATCATATTATTCAAATGTAAAAAAATGTCAGTTATGCCATTAAATAATATGTTTACACGGAGTCATAAATGAAAATCGAGAGCAACTTGTAAAAAAAAACCATTTAGCGGAAGAGTCTGTGTTTGTGCTGCATTGTGGTAAAAATCATTTATATTTTTATGAATATTCGATTTTTCATTCTCTATTTTTAAATACTCACGATACAGCATACGTGAATCGGAAAAAAAATGGCCAATTACTGCTTTTGCAATATTTTCCGTGCATTTAAACTTAAAATAGTGGCCAATATCAGGCGATAGCATCGAGTGAATATCGTTATCGATTCCATTATCATTATTATTTTATCCAAAAAAAAATACGATGAAACTTTTTGTATGCGTGTTGGAAATATGACAAAAAACGAACCGAAAAGGATGCCTTGATAAACGAGATGACAGAAACGAATAAAGTTTCAAAAGGAAAAAAAACGGACATTAACAGAAAAATGTCAGTGAAAGTTAAACATGAAAAAACATCAGAAAAAAGAGAAGTGAACAAAATTGAAATGCATACATTGAGCGTCACACAGCATCAACATCGCTCAAATGCACAGCGATCACTTCGTTTTCTCTGTGTGAATTTCGTTCGCCACAACGAAGTTTTATTTAACATAAATTTCATCATATTCAGAGGATAGCTTCGTACAAAACAGTCATGGACCGCATACGTAACACTATCTCTCCTTCGAACAAAAAAATAAATATTGTCATGTTTCTTTCATGTCTTTTTTTCGTCTCTCACCCATCGTAAAACGAAAATATACGCATTTTGATGAGATACAATGGTGCGTTATGTGTTGATCAGAACAAGTGAGCCGACTGCCATTATAATGTGCCAATGCGAATACAGTCGGAACCCGTGTGCATAGAGGGAATTCCATCATTTCTTTGCCACAATTTTTATTTATTCGACGTTTTATTTCAGCTGTTTAATAGCGCGTTGCGTAGAGTTTTTTGCTCTTCAGCGTGTTTGCATTCTCAATATGGCGTATATACGATACTTTACATCCTCATTGGATGCTTTTAAAAGCTTAAGCGGTATTTCGCAAATGAATTATTAGTTTATTACAGCATTTTTTTCTGCTGCTTTTACTGCATTCAACCAGCAATTTGAATATGCTTTCTGTTTTGTCGGCATCCTTGTTTCATTTCCTCTATTTCTCTCGCTCTTGTTCACTTTTTCGGCAAACAAATAATCATGAATTTGTTCGTGGAAAGCCAGCGCTTAGTAGCTCAAAATTTATGAATTACTGTTTTTTATATTTTTAATGCACATGTTTTACTTTTATTATGTTCAGTCCGTCGAACCGGCTAAGCATACAATTCATACCTTAGTTATGTATTTTTTTTTTGTGTCTGAAATTATTGTAAAAAAAGTTCATTCTTCTCGTATAGAGCATCTCATATAAGGATAAACGCACTTGCATAAAATTTTTATTTCCATCCCATTTTCCATGTTCATTTCTCTTAATGACCGTTTGTTAATCTGTTTGCATTCTTCTTTCAATATGGTGAAAAATCCGGATGCAGCGCTTCAATTACATTTTAATTAGGGAAAAACTTTATCCGCAAACAAAAGCCGAAATGCATAAAAAAGCATTTTTTTGCTCTTTTTTTTGTTTGTATGCAAAATGAAGAGAATAATAATGAAAGAATAAACACATGGCAAAAAAATAACATTGGCAAATAATGCACAATTAATTGAGCAAAATTGAAATTTAAATATAATAAAAAAAAGGAATCACAACAGCAACAACAATAAAAATCCATACTGAACAAATTTCCATTTCTTGTTTCGTTTCAGTGAGCGACGGTTCGGGTGATTGAACAAAATCAGTGGAAAAGAGTTGAGTGAACGGTTCGATAATAATGATGTAGTGAAACCGAAACGAAATAAAAAAAATGTTTAACTCACCTTGCACTGGACAATATTTTAAAGCATAGTTCTGAATAGTTATAAAACAGCAAGACATCAGGTGAAAAAAGAGCAGTGAATTGCTATTAAAAACAACCTCGAAAGTTGTAATTGTGTTAACTTAAAACGAAAAAAAGAGAGAAAGAGAGAGTGTGTGTTGCAGTTTGAGTTCAAAATATTGCACGTGATCAGAGGGTAGGAGTGATGTACCGTAAAAGTTTATTTGTCACAGTTTGAATGACATGAATTTCAGCCGTTACTGAACGTCATTAACTTTGTGTTCATTTTGTTATTGAATTCATAAACAATAAGCAAGTAAATTAAACTTTAATTACTATTTATGAGTTGATGAACAAAAGCAACGAGGACAAAAAGAATAACACAACACATCAGCCACAAGAGTTTTATGAACGAAATCATGAAAAAAGCCGAACGTTCTTTTCATTAAAATGTATCATTGTACACCGACGCACGACGACCAAAGCAACTGAACGAGCTTTAACACACAGAATACCAGAGAATCAATGGTGAGAAGAAAGTGTGTAATTGTATGCATTGAAGGTACAAAAAACAACTTCTCTATAGAGGCACTGTTGTCGCATATACGTTGAGCTGAATTCGGCGGTGCGACAATCCAACAACAGCCAACAGTTAAAAAAAAAAGAACAAAAAACGAAACCATCGATTATCACAACGTCGCAAGCAATTAGTAAACAACGAAATTATGGCAATTATAGCATTGGTCGCGTGTCTCGTTGCTATTTTGCACACACTGCTTCAGTTGCAAGGTCAGTATTTTCTAAACTATTTATTATTTCCCATGTATATTTTATTTGTTCTTTGTTCCAACATCATCATCACCACCACGACCGTCCCAACTACCATCATCATCGTTGTTGTCGTCATTGTTGTCGTTTGTTACATTTTCAAAAGGGCATTCAAATGCAAATTTTAAATACTTAAAATTGTTACTGTTTTCTTTTCGAATAAAGGACAAATAATAACATTTTATGTGGAACGCGCTCAACCTTCGTATGAATAATGTGATTAATTTTCGTTTTTTTTTTCGGTTAAAAGTTTTATTAACTATTGTATGCACCATTTTGCAAGGTAATTTTGGAGTTGAATACATATCATGCAGAGTTTTATGAATTGAATGTGGTTATAATCGGGTCATTCTTTCAAATCACATAAACCAACGCAAAATTACGACTTTTAAAATTGACGCATAAACGAATTTATCACATAGAAGGAGAAGAGACAACCGTAAATTTTTTTATAGATTTAAACCACACAATTTCTCTATTAGATTCCATTGGCCTTTCTTCTAAATCCTTCGCACATTTACACCTATGGCCGCATATAGATCGTGAACAGAAAGTGCAGCAGTCGAAATGTTTTGGGGGCGACTGAAGACCGAAAAAATGTTGAATGAAAAAAAAGAGTAGCACAAACAACGATAAAAATAAACTGACCCAATCGCAGCAATGAATCAATAATATTGCGGTTGTGGCTAGTGAGTTGGGGGAAAAAAATGAGAAAAAGTGCCGCAAGTGCATTTCGATGCGATTGAGAAAAAACCGCACATACATACACACACATACTGAACACTTTTTTTATTGCATTAAACTGTGGATAATGAAAGCATGCGGTGAAAGTCGTAAAAAATATTTTTATGTATACATTTCAGCTGTTTCTGTTATTTATTCTCGCCAATCGATTGGCCAGTAGCCAAACGTCGACTTCACACCTATGTGTGTATTAACTGACCATTTCAGATATCGACTTGCCAACGCGTCTGCCATTCTGCAAAAGAAAGTGACACACTCGCTGGCTAGCGTTCTAAAAAGTTCTTTTGCTTCTAGTGTATGTGCTGTTTTTTCCAAGGCACAGTCTCTGGTCACCCATAAAATTCACATCGGACACATATGGATCGTTAATGTTTACTTTAGAGTCTGCGGTTAAGTCGAATGGTCACCATTTCAACATATTCTCTTCCATAATAACCGTTCGAAGTGTATATAGGATACTTATTATTATTATTACTGTTTTCCTTCTTGATGATATTTCTTCTTCGGTCAACGAAAAAGATATCATGACAACGTAACCGTTTAGTTTTATTGAAAAGTGAATGTTTAATTTGCTTCCATGCGATTACTTTTGGCATCGTCGATTCTTCTTTTATTGATGCCGCTATGTTGCGCTATATTATCGATAAACGATTTAAACCATTTGTGTCTCATAAAAATTGAATTCAATGCCGAGTGAGCCGCTTTCATTTTTGTGTGTATCTATGTGTCCTGAAAATTTATCGCCGACAATAATCGATGGCCACATATTGTTCGTATTGTTAATGCTGCATTCAAAGTTTATGGCTTTATACTTTGAATCGCTTCCAATATCAAAATATGGAAAAATCGCAAAATTGCTGTGATTTTTTTGTCATTTAACTGTTTCAAAGTCAGTTTTTCTTAAATAATTTTGACTGCAACATTTGGAATGGCATTTTTTGTTGTTGGATGCGATAAACTTCTTCGAAACTTGATGCCATTTTGCTTGTATTCAGTCACACATCATTAAAAATGAAAAGCCAGAACTCACTTCGTGTTGACGCTTCATGTAAAAACTTTTCAGAACTGCAACTTTTCGAAATATACGTCATGCAAAGTGACTGACACGTAACAAATGGAATGGAATACAATGTCAAGGCGATTTAAAATTAAACGAACAATTTATTAAAAATTCTTTCGTCAGTTTTTTTCCATACAATGATTTTTAGATAGGATATAGCTTGCGGATCTCCGCAAGATCTGGATCTCGCCGTGCGTCATAGCCGCATGCCGTATGATACATTCACGCGCATGCTGTACACATACGTTCTTCATTTCTTTGAGACGAACGCAATCCATTCGCGCGCCGATGTATTGTATGTTTTTAGCGCATGCGCGAATGTGAAAAAGAGAAACGCAAAACGAAAGAGTGTGTACGAGTGTGTCGTAATTTAAAATAATAAATTTATTCGATTCATTTTTATTTTTATTTATTGACGAATTGAAATTTATTATCATTCCGGGACAGAATTTATAAACACTAGACCAAAGCCAACTATGAATTGTGTGCTAACACTTCGTTTAAGGAAAATCTACGTATTTTATAATATACGAAATAAGCCGGGAATTGACTTCGATTGCATGTTTCTCAAAGCACTTTTGATTGGCGTATGCACATTCCAGAAAATCAAAGACGCGCCGGTTGAAGATGGCATTGTGGCACTCATAAAAGGTAAAGTAGATTGATTGAAACTAAATTCATTTGAGCTAAACTCATTTTATTTCAAAATTATGCATTGTATTTCGTTCCATAAAAATAAAAATGAATCGAATAAATGTTATTTTTCTTAAGTCTCACTTTTCATTAGCTGACGTATTTTGTCTGCGTGCGAACTACAATGAGTGTATGTTGTTATGAGTGTATGTTGTTCAAACAACGACAAATGCTATTGTATGCTTCTTCGTTATTTAAAATAACGACACACTCATACACACTCTTTCGTTTTGCGTTTCTCTTTTTCACATTCGCGCATGCGCTAAAAACATACAATACATCGGCGCGCGAATGGATTGCGTTCGTCTCAAAGAAATGAAGAACGTATGTGTACAGCATGAGCGTGAATGTATCATACGGCATGCGGCAATGACGCACGGCGAGATCCAGATCTTGCGGAGATCCGCAAGCTATATCCTATCTAAAAATCATTGTATGTTTTTTTCTGATCGATATAATGTGTGTTACACCTTGACTTGAAGGTGTGTTCAATGCTTTTCACTATTTTTCTCCACCTACAGTGGATCGGTATACCGTATACGTATGTACATAAAACCGAATTTTCGTAGGTCACAATTAAGTGTGCGGCTGTGGAAAAGTTGATTTACTCAAAAGCTTAACACGTCTGACATTTCGTATATCGTAAAAATCAAATTATGATTTTAATTAATCGTTTGTATAAAATCAAGTGCAGTTGCTTTCATAACTTCGGGGCAGGTAATTCATCGCAGGAGAGATTGTCAGAGCACTTAGAAAGTTGGTTAATTTGGTGTGAATGAGTCTGTGAAGTTTAACCCTCAGGCGGAGAGAGAGAGTGGCAATCGCATACGACTGTTTCACATTTCCGAAGTGAAAAGAACAACAGTGAGGGTGAGAAATAGTCGCACACGAAATACCTTTTAATCTTTCTGTTAAACTTTGTCGCTGCTGTGCACCATTCAAACGCCTTCCCTTTCTTCAACAATAAAATAACATCTCAGCGAAATTTCATTCACTTAATTACATAGCGGAAGCACTTAAAAATGTGGTCGTATGTCATAAAAATGATGTTGCCACACATTTTAAATATGAAGAGAAAAAAAATTGTGTTTAATTTTGACGACATAAATTAATGACTATTTTCCATTGCTGTGTACGATTTTATTAATGAGATTCATTCATCAACAGAACTCGTACTGGACACATTTTCATTGCAAAACATTATGATAAAGCAATTGGCAAAGTAAACCGAACGCACAGTCCATGTTTTAGACGATGAAACATGCATGTAGTTGGCTGAATATATGGGTGATGGAATGGAAATTTATTTGCTATGCTCATCAAATCAACGCAACCAAATCTCGGTGTTAATTCAAAACGATAACAAGCAAATGTATCTAACAATGAACGGTTAAAGCGTTCAAATTGTTGAACGGAAACGCTTGCTGTATCGTCGTCATCGGGTCTTGTGTTACCATTTGAATGTGATTATGTCTCGCGGCAACTTTCATGCATACAGCGAATGAGCTCAAGTCAACTGTAACTAATTTGGTGTGTTATTTTCGCATGTTATCATTTGATTTCATTAGAAATCGGGTGTATTTGTGTGTGATTGTATGTATTTGTGTGCATAAAATGTGTAAAATGTGATGATGATGTGTATGGTATGGTGCCAAAGATGTTTGGGCGCACAGCCAGCGAGCCAAACACACTCAAATTTCATATGATTTTCAACATTTTTACGCATATCCACAACATAATGTTCACGGGAATGTCACGTTTTACCACATCGGTGTTGAAACGAAAGGAAGCGAAAGAGGGATTGAAAGGGAAGAGGGAAAGATGGAAGTGCACAGAATTTTGATGTATTGCTGAAATGATGTCTGTTATTTCGAAGTAACTAGTTGAACATAGACAAAGGTATTAAAATGCCTGCACGTATTGTGAATATATGAACTACACATTATATTGATATGTGTTGGCCATGTGTGCGTGTGTGGATTTAACTGTCAACAGCACAAGCTAGTGATCCACTTTTCGATTTACAATTTTCCATATAACACAATATAACTTTGTTCGGCATGTGAAAATGCAAATACAAAATTGATGTGTTTGATAGTGCACGTTTAATTTGGTGATTTTGCTTAAATGCGTTAATAAATTATAACTGGCAGGTGCACATAAACACATTAGCAAATGTCGTTCATACAAATCCGGTAGCCGTCATGTAAATGTGCAATGTTTATTAAGGGAACAGCAGCAAACGAGAATATAATGATTTTGATAAGCATGACAACAAAGCTTTGAATAGAATTCAATACACGAGTGTAATTATGGACAAAACGTTATTCACCACTTTACACTTGAACCAATTACCACGCCATTTTTTTACTCATTCAACTAATCCATCTACTCATATCATTTAATTTGACCAATTATATGCTGTTATACGTTTTTATGTGTGTGTGTGTGTTTCTACATATCG